ACTAATTTTCTATCATTCAGTATTCATCTGTATCACTTTGTATTTTGTTTCTTTTCTGCCAGGTGGTGCAATATGGAAGGCTCATTATGTGACCCCAAAATTCAGTCCAGAAGGTGCTGGAGCTTGTTATAGAATTGGAATTTGCCCATGTTTTGGAGAAGGCGTAACCCTTCATGACCCTCCTCTGCTGTTTGACCTCTCACAAGACCCTTCAGAGAACAATCCTCTCTCACCTGGCACCGAGCCCCTATTTGACACAATAATAAGCAGAATAGAAAGAGCAGTGGAAGGGCATCGCAGGACACTGACTCCAGTCCCACAACAGCTCTCTTTGTACAACATTATATGGAAACCTTGGCTGCAGCCCTGTTGTGGGACATTCCCATTTTGTTGGTGTGATAAAGAAGATGACAGTGCACACAATACTGTATAAAGAAAATAAATAAAAGGTGAATTTTGTGAAAAAGAAGTTTGAAAACATTTTTTAATTGAACTTTAATTTAAGATCATGCAATTTTCCAAATGAATAAAATGGACTTGATGAAGGCCACTTTGAGAGGTAAAATATCAGTCTGAAGGGAACCAACTAGTGTATGTTCCATATGATAAGTCGTCTTTTATAAAATAGTGCATAAGTCATAGATGCATCTTTTCACATCTGAATTTGTAATCCAGATATGCTACAGTGTGCCAGAATTAAGGTTGCCCAAGTAATATAAGTTTGATTTTCTTGATGTGTAAGGCTTTGTATATACATGCTCATAATGGGTGCCTTTCTGAATTTCTACACAGAAATTTGCTATATTCCATCTAGAAAGAGATGGAATATTCCATTGGGATAGTGTACAGGCAGAGTATTCTGCCTGTACACTAATGCCAGGAGCTTGGGGAATAAGCAGGAGGAGCTCATCCTCATGCTCAGTGCAAACAATTACGATGTCATAGGGATAACGGAGACCTGGTGGGAATCCACCCATGACTGGACCACGGGGATAGATGGGTATACCCTGTACAGGAGGGATCGTGTAGAGAAAAGGGGCAGGGGGGTAGCTCTCTATGTTAAGGAAAGCTACACGTCCCTGCAA